ATTCCGACCCCCCTTCATGCAACCTTCATCTTTCTGTTGGTTAGGGTTTTGGGGAGGTGGTTTTGCGGCAATCTAGGGAAGCAGGATGGAAGTGGTCTTGACGCGGTTTCTAGGGAGGGGGTTGTTTTCGGTTAGGGGAAGGGGCTGGAAATGGGGTATAATAATACCCTATATTTTTGAGACGCATTTTATAATTAATTAATTAATTAGTATTTTCAAAAAAGGGTATTTTAGTAAATACTTTTAAACAATTAATATTTGGGATTTTTGGATAAGATTTATTATTTATTTATTATTTTAATAAAATTCGAATGATATACTTCCTCCATTCTTCTTTTATCGCATCACTTACTAGTTTAGGAAGTTTCCTATTTATTGCATCAATTCCTTGTTTGGCAATTTTTTCCTTGTACAATGACTATTTTACCCTTATTACTATAACATAATGAGCCCACTTATTATTCTCCCACCTACCAAATTTAATGCCTTTGATTAAATCAACAATTCATCAGATCTGATGAATTGAAACCCTAGTTTTTGAAGTTTCTTCATCTTCCTCACCTGGGTCTTTCTCTCTCCACTCTTTCCCCTTGAACAATCGATCTTGGCTCATTCTCTCTCCTCTATTCCTCTTTCTTTTTCCTCTTGAATAAATCTTGCCTCCTTCTTTCTCTTCTCTTCCTTCTTCTTGAATGGATCTATCTCCACTACACGAAGCCCTATTCGCGACTGACGATGAAATTGAGCAGGGTTTCATTGTTGCTCTCGTCGAAGCTTTTGAAGAACGGGCTTCCTGGCCTAATTTGTCCCTAGTGGAATGAGTCACTATTTCAGATTGTCATGCCCATTAGTAATCCATATGATGAAGGGACTCAATTGATTAAAAGTGGTCCAAACTATAAGTTGCTCCAGTTTTAGTGTTGTGCACTTACGGTTGAGGTAACTGATAGGCGTGTCGCGTACCTAACAAAATATAACCTAACTGATCACTACTATGTAGCAGGGCAAGCAAGGGTCGAATCCCAAGAGACTAAGATTCAAAAATAATTAAATAGACTCAAATTCCTACTAAGCAAGAATCAATAATGATCGATTAACTAAGGAACTAATGTATGGAAAATTCGAAAATAAACTAAAGAATATTAAGAAATCAAGTAATTAAAACATCCAAGATCTAGTATCACCACAATTACGCTTGATGCAATTATATTTCTACCCCTAACATACGATTCCAATTGAACGGGGAAAAGTAAACCCTAATAAATACCAAGGACCTCTCTCGAGTATCAATGGCTTCCCTGACATACAATCAAGCCTATTCTCATGGTATCATTCATATTAGAGACATTGAACACATTACTCTAACTTCCCAATTATCAAACCCAACTACTCTCGTGTTGAATATCAAACCCTAAATTGATCTACTCAAATCCGTTTAGACCCAACTCTCGCTGTGATAGAAACAATGGAATAATCACAATACTAAGATTACGTCTAATCTAGCATTGGCATAATCACAATCAATTTAGCATAGCAATTGCAAAAGTCATTAGAGAATTTAAAGATTTAATTCATGCATCAATAATAATTGGGCTACCCCAGATCTTGGAATAGGGAATCCACTCACTCATAATTAAATAAACAATAATAATAATAATTGAAGAAAACATAATCAAGAAGCAAGAGATTAAAAGAAAATACCGAATCTTGAATTGAATTGAAGGCGGAAAGTGTAAATCTTGAATCTTGAATTACCAAAGTAAAGAAAATAAAATAGAGAGAACTAGTTCTTAATAACGTAAAATAAAAGGATAGAATAAAACTTAATCCCTCCTAGTAAAACAAGAAAACGATTAAAAGACTTGGCGCATAATCTTCCCAGGAGGCACGGACGTGCCCCTTGCTAGGCACGGACGTGCCTCTGTGCGAGCATATCTTCCTTTGGCTACTGACTTCCAGGCACGGACGTGCCTGCGCTGGTCTTTGAATACGGATATAGGCACGGACGTGCCTCTTGACGAAGCTGACTATTGTCCTGGGCACGGACGTGCCCCTGCTAGGCACGGGCGTGCCTAATGTCGAAGCAATTTGATGAGTATACTGACTTGGAGGCACGGACGTGCCCTAGCTAGGCACGGTCGTGCCTTGCTCCAAAAAGCCCTAAATTGTTCTTTCTTCAATCATCAAGCTTTGTGAAGGTTCGTGGGCCTCGGTTTAGTTTCGTGACTTCGTAAAACATCCAAATTAGTTCCGTTAAGCCTGAAATAAATCAAAAACAATGAAACTACCCATAAAAGTATTGAATCATCGAAACTAAACCAAATTGCACCAAATTAGACTAAAACACTTGACTAAGCTAATGAAATCAACTAAAAATAAGCTAATAAATACGCACAAAACACGACTTATCAAACTCCCCAAGCTAAACTAATGCTTGTCCTCAAGCATTTAACCATAAATCACAAGGGAGGAGAAAGACAACTTCTCAAACCATCACAATGTGCCATCAATTTGAAATCACGAGGAAAACAAAAATAAGAGTCAATATGCATAAAAACCACCATAAACCTCATATACTTGGAATCGACAAACATCTTACCACACATCTGCCCATACCAACTCACACAAACATGAATAACTCTCACTTTAGTTGTGAGAAATAAAAACAATAAACGCTCATGTGTTTACGTGGTGAAATATGATACCACTCAACCTAGGCATAAAATGCATGTCAACTTCACATGAATCGGCCTCTTTAGGCTTGCAATGTGACTTTCTCCACTTCTAATGATTGATGCAATTACGAAAATCATGAAATCCATAAAAGGTAAGCTCGGTGAATAAGGGTTGGACGACGTAATTTGGGAATGTGGTGCTCAAAATATAACAGATCCTAATCCCACTACACATTCAAATCGGGTTCAAGCCAACCTTATTTCCTCCAACTTCATGCAGTAATAACATAGCCCTTTTTATTTCTTTCTTTTTCCTTTTTTTTCAATCATACCTTTTTCTCTTTTTTTTTCTTTTTATATTATTTTTTTTAATTTTTTTTTCACAAGAGGAAGGGACTTATTGGTAATTAGGAAGACTCTTTTTTTAAAAAAAAAAAAACTTTTAAAGCTCTTTTTCTTCCTTTCTTCTTTTTTTTTTTTCTTTTCTTCCTTCTAATAAATACATTCCCTTCTTTCTCTTTGTTTTCTTCTCTTTTTTTTTTTCTTTTTTTATACATCACTCATAGGGCTTTAACAAGTGTAAAACACCTTCAAAATAAACCTAGAAAAATAGCTTTATGGTTTTAAATGTAGGGTATCAAGAAGGGGTTAAAACACGGCTCAAATTGGCTCAACCTACGGGTGAATGAAAAAAAAATAAAAAATATGTTGGCCTAAAATGTGGAGGCTCTATTCACTAGTAGAAAAAATGAATTCCGCAGCGCACTTTTCCCACCGGTTCTTTAAAATATACATCACTCATAAGGCTTTAACAAGTGTAAAACACCTTCAAAATAAACCTATAAAAATAGCTTTATGGTTTTAAATGTAGGGTATCAAGAAGGGGTTAAAACACGGCTCAAATTGCCTCAACCTACGGGTGAATGAAAAAAAAATAAAAAATATGTAGGCCTAAAATGTGGAGGCTCTATTCACTAGTAGAAAAAATGAATTCCGCAGCGCACTTTTCCCACCAGTTCTTTAAAATCGGTGGGAAAAGATATGGGTGGGATTAAGGAAAATACTTTTCCCACCGGTTCCTTTTGAACCGTTGCCAAATCACATTTTTCCCACCGGTTCAAATCGGTGCCAATTACGGAATTAAAAAAAACGGTGGTAGGGATTTCGCACTGGTTTCAGACCAAACCGGTGGGAACTGAGTTTTTCGAACCGGTTCAAACCGGTGGCAAATTTAAAAAAAAAACCAGTATTCCTTATTCTTTCTTTCTTTCGTCTTTTCCCTGTTCTATTCTCATTTTCCCTCCCCTTTTCACCTTATTGTATCCAAAAACCCGAAAGAAGAAATAATACTGCCCTAGCTTTCTCACTCCATTGAAGTAGCACCTTTGCCTTCTCACTCCATTGAAGCATGCAACACCTTCGCCTTCGCACTCCATTGAAGCAGAATCTCCGCCTCCATTGAAGCCGAATCTGAGCTTTCTCGCCTCCATTGAAGCCGAATTTGAGTTTTCTCACCTCCATTGAAGCAGCGTCGAGGTAATGTTTGTTCTTAATCCATTTGAATCCTTCGCATTCTAGGGTTATTCGTTGATTTATTTTTCAATTTCATATTTGAATTCTTCGTTTATTCAATTGACGTTTGATTTTCGTTTTTTTTATTTTTTATTTTATTATTATTATTATTATTGTTATTATTATTATTATTATTATTATTATTATTATTATTATTATTATTATTATTATTATTATTATTATTATTATTATTATTATTATTATTATTATTATTATTATTATTATATGTGATGGTGGTTGTTGATGGTGGCTGCTGTTGGTGGCTGTTGATGGTGGTAGGAATTGAATTGAAGCAGGGGTGTAGAGGGTGTGTGGCTGTGTGGGCCTGTTTTTTGTTGTGGTCTGGGTTTGTATGGCTGTGTGGGCCTGTTTTTTTTTCCGGTCTAGGTTTACATGGCTGCTGGTTCTGGGTTTGCAGGGCTGTTGGTTTTGGGTTTACAATATCATCAATTATAGCTCTGTTACAATATTGATGCTTAAATTAGACTAACTTATTATGTTGACTTGTGTATTGAATTGGATTGGAGGGAGAAAATATTGTAGATTTTAGTTTTGAGTCCATAAATTATTTTTATTGTAGGTCGAATTTTGAGTCAGTAACTGTGTAAGAAAACAGATTCTACTTTAATGTATCAATATGCAAGTGATTATGCAACTTCTAGACCTTTAAGTATGGATATTGTAACAATGCTTAAATCTGGCAGATCTGAAACTAGACAGCGCCATTTGCGATGTTTTCAAGGTGTTGCTAAAAAATGAAATTTGGTTTTGCAGCTTAGCAATTACAATTCCTTTGAAGGGGTATTGTACTGCAGGCCGCATTTTGATCAGCTGTTTAAGCTAAATGGCAGCTTAGACAAAAGCTTTGAAGGTATACCGATTTAAGATCCTCAATCTTACGATACAAATACAGTAACAAATTAATATTGCTGTGATTTCTATTGAATTATTATTTATCATCCCGAAATTTGGTTTCAGGTACTCCTAAAACAAAACCAGATAGAACCGTTGATAGTGAGGTATATCATACAGGCTTTGATTTTATATAAGTGAACACACACAACTACTCTTTTAATTCTGTTATAATATTCGATTTCAATTCTCATTTTGGGATAATGAATTACTTTGCTCAGAAACCTCCTAGCAAAGTCTCTTCCATGTTTGGTGGAACTAGAGATAAATGTGCGGGTTGTTCCAAGAACTCTAAGAAACCTCTTGTGCTAGTTGAACAATCCTTTATGAGGATAATTCACATAATAAAATGATAAATTCGATCAAAGATGGACGATCCAACTGAAAATAGTCTAAACAATATCCTTGATTCCCATTCATATGAATGTATACAACACTACATGAGTTCGTCTTTCATCACATCTCAAATATCAACTTCACAAAAATTTCCAAGTAAATAAACTTGTATTGCTCCCTCATCGAGTAAATAAATTCGGCATCTTTACAACAACAATTATGAGAATGATCACACGCCGTCAATAATTACAACAACAATAATTCAGCTGAACCATGCCATCACTCCTTCAATCTTATGCATAATTTCACTTCAATATATTCATGCCATCACTCCTTCAATCTTATGCATAATTACAACTAGGATGTTTTTAGAATTGTTTCTGACTATACTAATAGATTACCATTTCATTAATGTCTGCAGTTATCAAGCTTAAAGATTCGGGCACGAAGACCCCATTCATTGCTGAAGCTTGTATCTTGCGGAAAGTGTCTCTCTTTCAGGTTGCTAAGGTAAATGACTGTAACGGCTATTGAGGCTTCCCTGTGCATCTTTTAGTTTGATTAATGATGCGTTATTCTTTAACAATGTATGTAGGTATTAATTACTTACTAACTTTTGTTTTTTCTTTTTAATTTTTTTTTATAGATTCATATGTGAATTGAAGCACAAGTTTAGCTTGAAGACTACAAATTTAGCTCAATTGTGGTATGAATTATAAACTTAGTCTATGTTTCTTTTTCTTGATTCATGATGAAAGTTTTCTCATGCTATTACAACTTGTGTATTGTTTAATGACAAATTAATACAACAATATATAAATGCTTGCATCATCATATGCCTAGATACCCGTTCAAGGCTTTCTCATTAGGAGAAAGTCTTGAATAGTCCCCGGTTGGGACTGTTCTTGAACGTTTACTCTCACTTAGGTGGTGAATGTATGTCTTCTTTTTTCGATTTTAAGGAACATCTTGGCTTATCATTTCCTTGATCACCATGTTCTCTGGGTACATATGTGGGTAAGTTATTACCTACATCGTGTACTTGGAGAACTGGGGGGAAATGCTGCCGGATTTTCCTTAAAATTGGAAAGTCGACATACATTCACTAGTGAGAGTAAACGTTCAAGGATGGGTTAGGTTGGAGTGATAAGGACCCTTTGGAAGCATATATGCATTATTGTATCTATATGAATGTTATATGCATGGTGTGTGTTTGAATTTGATTTACATATATAATAGATGTAGCAATTATACATTATTCGTAATATGTTTCCATGTTTAGAGGCAATTTACTTAATGGAGAAGGATCGTGGCTGGATGTATGGTAGACGTGATACATTGGAATTCTTTGATGGGGTTCAAGAGTTTTGTGAGAGGGCTTCATCTTATCAGCGCAGAATGGGTTTCGATTGCCTCTATTGTCCTTGTGTTGATTGTAATAATGTGAAGGTGGTTAATAGTGTTGATATCATTAGAGATCATGTAGTTTGTCGTGGGTTTAGGCTTAAATACCATGTGTGGATTTGGCACGGTGAAGAAGGAGAGTACAGTGGGGATGTTATTGGGAATGATGTGCATGATGATAGAAGCAATGATATTCGTGTGGACGAGGAATACAAGAATGATGAATTTATTGCTGATAATGGTGATGAGGATGGATTTGATAATGATCAGGTGGATGAGATGGAGGATGAAGGGGTGAATGAAATGATGCGTGGTGTTGAAGGTGACGTGTTTGATTCGTTATCGGAGGCTTCTAAAAAGCCTTTGTATCCCGGGTGCAAAAAACACTCCAAACTATCAACTGTGCTAACACTGTTTAACATTAAGTCGAAGCATGGGTGGACGAACAACAATTTTACGTCTTTGTTGACCGTGTTAAGTGAGATGTTGCCTGACGGGAATGAAATTCCTAAGTCATACTATTATGCAAAGAAGCTCATGTGTCCATTTGGTTTGGAGTATAAGAAGATACATGCATGTCCTAATGATTGTATTATTTATCGAAATGAATATGAACAATTGGAGGAGTGCCCACGATGCAAGAAGTCGCGCTACAAGTGTATGAGTTGCAATGCTGGTACGAAGGGACCTCCTGCGAAGGTGTTGTGGTATCTTCCCATCATTCCAAGGTTTAAGCGTCTTTATTCAACACCAAAAGACGCAAAAAACTTGAGGTGGCATGCAGAGGGAAGAAAGAAAAACAAAATGCTGAAGCATCCAGCCGACTCCCCGCAATGGAAGAACATTGATATGAAGTTTGGTGAATTTGGTGATGAAGTCAGAAATTTAAGGCTTGGGTTGTGCACGGACGGGATTGCGTCCAAAAACCATTCAAATGCTCTTTTAATGTGATTTCAAGCCTTAGCTGCCTCTAACTAGGTAATAATGACATGTTAAAAGAAAGAATGAGTTGATTTGATAAGAAGTGTAGAAAATAGGCATACAAGTAGTGATATAGGCCTTATTCGGGCCATTTTGGTTGAAAATGCATCTTAAAACCATTGAATTGTTCTTTTAATGTGGTTTCAAGCCTTAACATCCTAAAAATAAGTAATATTGACATGTTACGAGTAAGAATGAGTTGATTTGGCAATAAATGTAGAAAATAGGTGAAGTAGTAGTCATATACGCCTATGTATTAAATTTTTGCCTAACTTAAATTGTAAATGTATTTTTACATAAATAACCTAAGTAATTAATTCTAGCTAACACCATTTTTGTTTAACCAAGTTTTGCAAGGTACAGAAAAGAGGTCCACTAACGAGCAAAGAGCTGAATGAAGTTCGAGACATGTTAGCGTCTTTCATCACATATAATTTAATTTGAACTTGTTAACTTATACATTAATTATTAGTATAGTTTGTAAATATAACACCTTTTAATTAATGAGTTGTAAAAGCTATATGACATTTCATTGTATCGCATTTACGGTTATTAATTAATATTTATGTATTGTTGTTATTATTCCAATGTAAAAATTATTATATTATTAGTATTTTTAATAATAATAATAATAATAATAATAATAATAATAATAATAATAATAATAATAATAATAATAATGATAATAATACGGGTAATAATAATAATTATTATTACGGTTATTATAATATATATTAATGGCAGAATTAATACAGGAAGTGCAGGTTTTTAATTATTTTTAATTATAAAAAAAAATTTAAAAAAAAAAAGGTTTTTCCCACCGGTTTTTTCAATGAACCGGTGCCCAAAATAATTTTGAAAACTGGCGCGCTAACTTTTGGCACCGGTTCAGTGTTAAAACCGGTGGGAAATGTTGTAGTTTTGCCACCGGTTCACTTGAAAACCGGTGGGAAAAGTGCTCTAGGTATAAGAAAATTCACATGTTTTTGCCACCGGTTCACTCCAAAACCGGTGGGAAAAGTGGTTTTTGCCACCGGTTTTGAACCGGTGGGAGATCTTTGGGGATTTAGCACCCCCCAAACCAAGAACAGTTCAAAACCGGTGGGGAATGTGTGGTTTGAACCGGTGGGGATTGGGGTTTTTCGCCTAGTGATTCTCTACAAGGAAATTTCAATCATTTTTTCGCAACATGCATCATTCAAGTCTCAAACAGTCAAAAAGCAAGACTAAGAATTCAATTATATGAAGGACAACTACTCACACATGAAGAAACACGACTGAGATAGAGTGAAATCAGTCAAATATGGCTAAAAAATCTCACCGGGTACACAAACTATTCACATAAGTAGAGCGGGGAGACCATCCTGGCCACAAACCAACTCAATTCCAAGCAAATTGGTAAATGGGTTTTCAAAAACTCGTTTCGCAAAGCACACATATATAATTATTGTCATAGAAGTATAGTCATGTAATGGCATATCGATCAACACTAAAAAGAAATAAACTAACCAAAAACTGAAAGAAAACTAATATATACATGGTGAAAAACAAATCCTCCCCCAAGATAAATCATACATTGTCCTCAATGTATGCATATAACAGTGTAAAAGAACAAGGGGAAGGGGAAACAACCTACTGATCAGGAGGGGTGGGGGGAAAACCATACCTCGGTTCGGTGCTAGGACCGACCTGGAAGTGCTGTCGCATCATGCCCCCGATGTCATAGAACTCGGCCTGGAAGGCGGCGAGCTGATCTCATAGGTCACCAAAAGTCGTTGCCATGCTATCATGGGACATCGATAGGTTCGTGACCGCCCTCTGCGTGTCACTGACATCCCTCCTCAAGTCTCTCATACCAAGCATGACATGGTTAAGATCGGTCCTCATGGAGGCAATATGCTCCTCCTAGCTAGGTGGGGCTTGCGGCCCTGGATCTGGAATATCCTCCTCTATGTGTGCATGGCCCTCTCCTGCGGGAAATTGGGCTCCCTCCCCCATAGGCAATGGGACACCCTCAATATGCTGTGGTGGCCAAATGAAATCAGGAGGGATAATCCAAGTAACCCTCCCAGCCACCGGAGGAATCCCGAACTTCGAAAGGAAAGCATAGGGGACCGGTCGTGGTAGAGTCGGACAACCGACTAGCCACTCGTAGCCTTGGCCCCGACGACGTCTCTTCACCCAGCTCATCTGCTGGAAACTCTGAAAGCTTAGTGTGGTGGGATTGATTTTTGATTGGGATTTGGATTGATTTTTTATTAGGGTTTGGATTGAGTTTTGATGGTAGTGGAGTGTATAGTTAGAGTAGAAGAAGTAAAAACTTGAAGATTGTTATGAGATTTTGTGAGTTAAGGTGAGAATTTGGGGAGGTTTGATCGAAAATTGGGGTAGAGAGGAGAGAGGCGTGCTTGAAAATTGAGAGGTGAGAGTTTGGGAATGAAAGAAATAGGCATGTCCGTGTCCTTCCTATTTTCGAGGGAGGCACGAACGTGCCTATGGGGGGGCACGGACGTGCCTCTTCAAAAATCAGAACTCTGAACTTTCTACCTCAGAACATGCCTCTGAG